AGACAATAATGATATAACAGCAATAAGGTAACTGCTGGTATTCCTCCACTCACAGTTCTAGTTTCATAAACTGCTACTCGTTGTATCACTGGTCTAACTGCTCGCAATGATAGTCTCTCTTTACTCCTTGTACTGGACATGGCTTCATTTGCTTTTCAAGAATGGGTGTGGCTCTTCCGTACATCTCCGCATATTTTTGTGAGCTATGCAAAATTTGAGGGCGGGGCTCAGAGTTCACGTGGCTGCACGTGGAGTAAAGAGAAAATTAGATTAATTTTAACACAATAAACCAAGACTACTGAAATAATACTAATCATCTACTCTATCTACTCTTAAAGGCTTGCAAGGACTCAATTAATGATATTGTAGTAGCAAAAGTTAAAAAAATGATTAATACAATTCAACAACTGATTCACGACTAGCACAGCGTCTAACATCAGTAGAGCTTGGTACCATAGCTCTCCTTTGCTGATCAACAGTTTTATGTGATTCAGTTACATCTAAAAGAGGTTCATCATCTTCATCTTGTTTCTTGAATAACTTCTTAATTAGAGCATCATAACATTTCATATGTGATAACTGCAGGTAAAGATGATAAACAACAATCAAAATAAAACTGAAAATAAAAACAGATAAACAAGTATTGTACCAGATCAATACTTTGCTCTCATCAGTAAAGGCTATAGATAAAGAAGCCATGATGCACAAGTTTAATAGGAACCAAAATTCAATGATATTGTTCAATTTCTTTCTGTACACACCACCAAAGATAAAACTAAGGGAGAGGATAATAGCTGCTGCTGCCAATAGCAAGACACGTGATTCATTCCTCACAAAGGTGACAGTTAAAAGTACTGGTATCCTAGCCACTAGGAGTAGACCAGGCCAGAACCGATACTCATCTTTCATTGGACCACTATAAGCATCAATAATAGGCTTAAAATGACTCCAAAATTTTCTAAAAACTTTGAAATTTGAAAGATACTTCTCATAAAAATGATTAAGTAGAAGGAACAGTGTGTATGGTATGACAAAGAAAACAGTCACCAATAGGGCAAATCCAAATAGTCCAGCATGCTTCCCTTTAGCATATTCAACATTAGGATCCTCATACCATAAACTAACTGATCTTACTGACTCATTTGTACAGTGAAGAGTTACCTCACGCTTGTGTAGTACAATAACAATAGTACGTACTAGTTTAGTATATGAGAGAAAAGTCAGTGTAGATAGAACAGGAACAGCATGAGACCCCATCAGTCTTGATATCTTACCATATCTCCTACACAATTGTATAATGATAATGATAATGATCCACAGGTAGAGAGGGAAAGCAAACTGGAGCCATTGTTTAGCATAACTGTCCATACCATTGTAAAAACATATCTCAAACCCAAAGTCTAAGTTAATCCATGATATGACTTGACTCAAGACTGGTAATGCTCCTTTCCTTGAAAAGACTGGCTCGTATAACTTGACAATGTTAGCATAGAACAATAGACCATTGAGTGTACCCACTGATACTGTTAAATTGAGAGCAATCAGTAGAACCACAAGTAGTACACCCATCACTGCAAACAGAGCAATCCAAGCTATCATCGTGTAATTATTATGACAGTGTCCACACTTGTTTGATCCCATTAGTAGACTGTATCTCTCTGTACATGATCCACACATTCTGTGTCCTCTATTATCCACACATTGAGTATGAGTGTAATTCAACTTGAAAGTAACAGGATTAGGAGAACAATAGAGGAGACAGTCCTCATTGATAATGCATGCATTAGGATTGGTTTCATTAGCATTGAAAGGTGTAGTGGTATGATATGTTCCAATCCACAGTAGACCATTGTGTGTAATGTTTAGAGTATTTATATCACATGTGACATTCTCTCTTGAAAGACTTTGACTGCAAGTACAGGAACCTTGTGACTTATCTAACCTGAAACCAATGGGACACTCTTTAACAGTAAAAAACACAAGAAGGTCTTGGGTCATAGAAGAAGTAAAATAGTAAGTGTGATATCCTAATTGAGTCAGCTGTGGTGTGTATTCAATTAATGAACAAATATTGGGAATATGTGTTTGATTGAGCAAGAAACCATTGATGTCATTAAATATATCTACTGTACCATCTGTGGGAGTTTCTGATCCAAAGTAATCAGAACCAAACAAAGCCACATTAAACTTCAATGCTTGACCTGGAAAAATTTGTGCATATGCAGCTATACAGTTTTTTTTATTACTAGTATGAGGATCACAAAAGCATATATCTTCTGCATCACTTGTTGAATCAAATTTTGCAGAGTGTGTGACTTTAAACTGATTTATGTGTGGATGATCGTATACATGATATCCATACATATCACCACCAACCAGTGCACTATTATTTATTAATGTAAGAGGTATGTTTGGTGCCATTAATCTTATGTCACTATGTGTTGACTCTTCAGCATAAAACCCTCCTCCTTTATAAGAAGCATGATTATCAATAAACTCCAAGTTAGCTGATGATGATACTATCAATCGTGATGAGCCATTTATTGCTAATCCTCCTCCAACTACTCCAGTATTGTTCTTGAATATTAAATTATTCTTAATTGTTACTAATGATGCTGTAAGACTCAATCCTGTATCGGTACTGTTAGCAACAGTAACATTACTGAGACTAATAGCATTACTGTTCATTATCTTATTTCCTCCATTTCCAATAAGTTCAGTATCTATTATATCAATTTGAGTGGATTTAAAAAGTGCTGCATCAATGAATAATCCTTCATTTATATTGTCATATATCAAACATGATTCAATGATAATGTGATAGTTTACTGCTTTTATTAAATACTGGTCATCAGAAATCTTCAATCCTTGTTTATTATTATAAAATTGACTGTCTTCAATCAAAAGAGTAGAAGTTAATTGAGTACCAGGATATGAGCAATCATCAGTTAAATATTGACCAAATTCAATAGAAGGACCAGAACCATCAGTAACATCATAAAATAAAGAGTGGCTAATCAAAAAATAAAAAAGACCCCCCGCTTTAATGATGGTGGGAGAGTTAACGTAATATAGAGCATGATCAAAGATAATTGATACATTGTATGTGGTACCATGATGCATATCTAGTATCATTTGACTCTGTACAGTAAAGGTAACATCAGTCAGTATCAATGAGTAATGGAGTAATTCACTGCTACAGGCTGGAAGAGGGTCATATTGAATATACACAGCATAGCCAAGGAAACCGAATGAGTCTGCAGAGAAAACTGATGATGATATCTTAAGATCAAAAGCATTTGTTGTCACTATAAATTGTGTAATATAAATATACCTAAAACTAATGAAAGCGTTATTAAATATTGTAATACTGTTAGATGAATCAACCTCCACTCGACAATGATCAATTGTTAAGTTAGAAATAGTGACATGATCACTGTATTGTACAAAAATTCGAGTAGCTCCAAGTTCTTCAATGCCTACAATACTAGGAGACTGATCCAGTCCATGTAGAGTAACATTCTTTACTGCAGTCATGATGATGTCATAGCTAATGTTAGTAGTTCCAATGAAGTAGAAGATGGTGTTATTGTATTGAGACATATTCCCAGCATACACTGATAAAGGATTACAAGGTGACTGAGTAACTGAACTGCAGTCATCAGACACATAATACTGACCAGAGGAGACACTGCAGGAGCTACTGAAGAATAAGAGAACAACCACTAACAGGAGAGACATAGCTACTGTCTGGGCTGACGTTTGCTTATACAGTAAATATTATATTTATAGATAAGTTAATGGCAAGTGTTGGTAGTTGTAGTAACCACAGCTTGGGTCATGTATGGCTTTTATTGTGTATTAGTCTTAAATGTGGTGAGCCTATACTCATAGCAGAAAATCTGATAGTTGGTCTGCTTTCGAAAGTAGCTTTAATTAGTAAAACAGTATAACCTGCTATGTGTGGACACTGAAAGACACCTCTATAATTAGGACAGGTAGTATCAGTCCCAATACAATAGTAATGTGTATTAATGAACCTCTGAAATAAGGACAGGTTCATAATCAGGACAGAATTTTTGTCCCAACGTGTCTGGAATAGACTGGCTTGATTGTACTAAAGCATTATAATAATATGTAAAATCATTTATTTGTTAATTATCTATTAATTTACATTGTCTTTATTTATTTATTCTTCTTGCTTTTTCTTTCCTTTTAACCGACTTCTCTTTCCTCCTCATTTTAGTCTTCTTCTTGTCATTCTTTCCCTTTCTCTTTGAAGGTTGGAACGACTTGAGCAGCTTCTTATTACGACCAACTTGGGACTTGGCTCCTCCAAATTTAGTCTGGAACTTTGACTTATCACTGCGACAGCGAAAGACTCTTAGTTTCCGTCCTTCTACTTCAATTCTCTCATTTTTCTTGCAAGCAAATAAGACTGAGCTACTGTCTTTAAATTTAACATAAGCAAACCCTTTGTTAATGCCAGTCCTAGTGTCTTTAATAATACGGATACCATCAATAGGACCACAGGACCTGAGAGAGAGAAGGGGAGGGAGGAAAATGATAAAATGAGGGAATAATGTATAAATCATTTTATTCTGATCAATACAGGGATTTTTATGAATTCGTTGCTCAACAAATCTGACCAAGTCCTTGCATAGGCAAGAGTACAATTTTTTAAAATCGAGTAAAAGTAAAAGAAACTTATAGTACAGGGTCTCAAACCAAATTTCACTAAAAATGTCAAGCAGAGAATTCTCCATTTTTATTATGTTTTCTGATGCATATACATGTACTTATGTTGCGTAGAAAGTTTGAGCTGATTCCGATCTGAATTAGATTTTTTACGAATTTTTAAAGTTGCTCTGAAATTGGGTCAAAATCCCTGTACTACAGTACAGGGTCTCGAGCCAAATTTCACCAAAAATGTCAAGGAGAGAATTCCTCATTTTTATTCCATTTTCTGATGCATGTACATGTACTTATGCTGCGTAGAAAATTTAAGCGAGATACCAATCAAGTTTTGATTTTTTTAAATGAATTTTAAAGTTGCTCCAAAATCAGGTAAAAATCACTGTACTGTAGTACAGGGTCTCAAACCAAATTTCACCAAAAATGTCAAGGAGAGAATTTTTCATTTTTATTACGTTTTCTGATGCATATACATGTACTTATGCTGCGTAAAAAGTTTGAGCTGATTCTGATCAAAATTGAATTTTTTTACAAATTTTTAAAATTCCTCCAAAATCGGCCAAAAGTCACTGTATAGGGTATTTGACCAAAAATGTCAAGGACAGAATTCTCTATTTTACTAACATTTTATGTACATGTACATGTACACAAAGTAGTCACGTAGATACTACATATACATGTACATGTACATTTGTACTTACTCAAATACTTTTCTCAGTTTCTCTTCATCAGCCCCAAAAGGTACATTACCTACAAACACAGAACAGTGAGTGTCATTAGTGGGTGTGGCCAGATCAACTCTAATATGCCTCCCGTCAACCTCTCGTCCGTTCAACTCCAAACAAGCGCTAGCAGACTCCTCCGTCTCCATAACAACATAGAAATTAGTCGTCGTCCCTGTCAGCTGTTTTCCGAGTTTTCTAGCAACTTCAACAGGAAGTTTACCTGGAGAAACCGCAACTGATCGTTGCCGTAGCGACTCGACTGGACCAAACGGGGAGACCAGCTTGAGTATATCCTTCTTTT